CCATGAATGATTGATTTCGGTATCACGGACCGTATGATTGAACACTTTCAAGCTTTCTGAACTATTATCCATTCTCTGGGATAGACAGTTGAAATTGTTGATTGCTCCTGTAACTCTATTGTTGGTAAATGATCAATTGTGTTAACAACTAGTCTGACTCTGAAATCGGTGTTACATGTCCCTCTGCTGAGGTGTAATCTGTTATTTGTTAGTAAGCTGACAAATGACATGAACTGCGTTGTTAATTTCTATCCTGATATTTGTGTCTTTCAGGATCATCGTTTTGGGAGGATGATTAGAAGTGCTAAAAGAGTAGCTGACCTTTACTTCTTCCAAGAGAAATGCACATGTAACGAGGTCCTCCCAGTAGTTGCAATTTTTCTCGATTCACTAAATATTCTATTTTGTTGTTGCATTATCGTTTGCATAATTTCAATTTTTCAGTTTTTAAAAAAATTGTATTCGTCGATGTTTACTAATAGATATCTTGCTACCTTCAAATGTAAGATTAATAAATTAGCTAAACATTATTGCGTTTCTTATTCATCTCATCCATACACGCCTTTCGCTCTCTTTTCTCTTATTCACAGTGATTTGTGATGACCCTCTCACACTCCTAGCTACACTAATAAACGGTGGTTCTTACCTTAATTGATGACCATAGTCGAATGACGTGGGTCTATATCTTAAAAGATAAATCCAAAGCTGCTGTCATTTTTAAGTTCTTTCACTCTTTCATTTTGACCCAATTAAAAATTTCAATTCAAGTTCTTCAGATCAACAATGACCGTGAAATTTTTAATTCTATTTTAGGTGAGTTATTTGTAAGTAAGGACATCCTCTGTGATAGCTTATATACATACACTCAACAAAGTTGAGTAACCGAGAGAAAAAATTGGCATCTTCTCGAAGTAGCTCATTCCATTATGTTTTGATCTAATGTCCCGAAAAAAAATTAGAATTATGCCGTGCTTACTGCCACCTATCTTATCAATATAATTCCCACAAAATTTCATAAATTTACAACTCAATTAGCTTTCTTGATGTCATGTGTCCCTACCAATCGGTTCCTCACTAATCTTGAACTCAAAATTTGTTGTTGCATGGCATTTGTTCAGAACACAACCGTTAATCGTAGTAGCTTGATCTCGGGTCTATAAAACGGGTCTTCCTCAGATATTCTGTCACTCAAAAAGACTATCATTGTCTTGACCCTGCCACAAATAAATTCTATGTAAGTGCCGATGTTTTCTTTTTTTGAAAGTATTCTATACTTTCCTGTCACCGTCTTAAGTAAGGTGGAGCTTGATTTCTTAGACACTTTTTTGTCCGACCCATATTGATATTTCTCCAACCATTATATCCAAGGAGCCCTTTGTCCCTCTGGATCCACCACTTACTCTTTACAAAACCTGGAATCTGCTATGAGTGACATTTCGAGAATTGACACCACTTTACTCTGAATGAGGAGGTGAGTTCTTGTGTTGAGGTATGTAATCAAGCAAGCTCTATTTATTTCATTGGAAAATATATTGCTTTCTGCAATTTATTGGAGATCTATAAGGCGTTTGCTGCTTATCTTGGCGGATCATCACCTCCCATCCACTTTCGAAGCAGTATTAGCTGATCCTTTTTGGAAAGCTGTAGTAATTGATGAAATTATTACCTTTCAACGGAATCATACATGAGATGTTATGGACTTTCCTCCAGGTAATAAAGTAGTAGAGTGCTGCTGGATTTTTAGCACCATGTTTAACTTTGATGGATTCTTTGAATGCAATAAGATACGGTTAATCGCCAACGACTACTCACAAGCGTACAGAGTTGATTATTAGGAGACTTTTACTCCGATTGCTATATTAAACACATTCCGGTCCTACTTTCCCTTGTTGTAAATTTGGAATGGCCTTTCCTCTAACGAGATGTCAAAAATGTTTTCTTAAATGTGGATCTCACAAAAGGAGGTGTACATGTGCCTCCTTCCAGGCTTTTAACTATACTGTTCCCTGGGGACTAGCGTGTCGACTGCGAAAGTCCCTTTACGGACTGAAGCAATCCCCAAGGGTCAGACCCAATCATATTATACTATCTTTTTTCTGCATTTCTTCAGTGGCGAAATTGCTATCATTATCGTCGACTCACAGGTGATGATCTACCAACATTTGAATCTCTGAAAGGTATTCTTGCTACTTCATTTGAAATGAAGGATTTGGGGTGCTCCGGTACTTCTTAGGCATGGAAATTGCTAAATCATCTCGGGTCATTTGCTTGTCTCAGCGCAAATATATGCTTGATCTATTGACATAAAATAACATTCTCCTTTGCAAATCAATGACGTTCCCAATGGATCCCAATGAGAAAATAGTTGATGTTCCCAATACGGTTCCGGTGAACACAACTCACTATCAACGACTTTGGGGGAAAACATTTGCCATGCATAAGGTATTGTGAGTCAATTCATACAGGATCCCTATGAGCATCATTTTTAAGTTGTCCACATGATCCTTCACTACTATAAAGGCACATTGTACTTAAGTTTATTTTTCTCGCACCACACCTTTTTTTATTACTGTTTATATAGATGTGGATTGGGTTGGGTCTGTCCATGATCAACGATCCACCTTAAGGTATTGCCCATTCATGCGGAGAAATCTTGTTACGTGAAAAAGTAAAAAACAATCGGTTGTGGTCCGAAGCTGCGCTGAAGTCGAGTTTCACTCCATGTCCTTGGCATATGTGAAGCTCTTTGGTCATTATGCTTTGGTGAATTGCATATGCTAGTCTCTGCTCCTCTCTAGGTGTTCTATGATAATAAATCAACCATTAATATTGCCTATAGTCCAGTTCAATATGATCAAATCAAGCATGTGGAGATTGACATATACTTCATTAAAGAGAAAATGCAATTTACGGGAGATTTGTATTCCATTTGTCCCATCCGATGGTCATTTAACAAATATCCTTATTAAGAATCTTTTTCGGTTATTGTTTCACGACTTCAAATCCAAGTTGAACATGATGAATATCTATGTTTCAACTTAAGAAGAAGTATTAGAATTATTAAGCTAATTACTGCTACACTTGTTACTAGTTGTTATTTGATTTTATTGGCTTCCTCTATTTCCATTTTCATATTTATGCATTTCTTTGTTGGTCTATTTTTGAATTTATGTTTTTCCTTTGTTTGGACTTTGTAACAAACATGTATTTATACCTCTCTTCCTATCGATAAATGTATGTAACTATATTTTCTAAAATTTGACAGATTATAATATATATATATATATACACACACACACACACACACATATATATTATAATAATTTTTATAATTTAACATCAATATGCGTATTCATCTAATACAACTCCTTATTTTTTAATTTTAATGAAATAATTTGTTAATACTCTTGTCTTATTTGATTGTAAGAAAATTTATTTGGAACTAATATATTATTTTATTTAATAGGTGTAAACTAGTTAAATACTAATTAAAAAATTATTCCATTACTTTTTATTTAGATTTATAAATTTATTTTGCACTTTTATACAACAAGTACTCATTAAATTTTTCATCTTGTTTATTAGTTCATTAAAGTATTCATTTAATATAAGCAAGTCAAAGCACAAGCTATCTATGATTTTTTAAAAATTTAAATAAGTCAAATATGAACATATATATGAAAGCTCGTCTCGAGCTCAAGCCAAATTTGAATTTATAATATGACCAAGTCAAGCTCTATTTATGGGGATTTACATACATACTATGCAATTTTTAGGTATTTATCTATTAAATTCGTAAATTTTAACATTTAACCCTTTAGTGGCCATATTCATATCAAAGATGAGAAAGCACCAAATTGTACCATGCTTATTTCATCAATGGAAGGTTTACATGCATACCACTCAATTCCTATGAAGTTCATGTATAATGTCTTAACTTTAATTTTTACTTGTTTGCCATCTTATTTGTGCATGAAAATGTGTACTTCACTTATTGAAAGTTAAAGTAGTGATATTTTTTATTCAATTTTAAAGATTTGGGTGGTATAAATGTAAAGAGTAAAGGAGAAAATATTGCGTCCGGACAACGGATGCAATGCACGGGAAGGTCTTTTTTTTTACCCTAGCTTCTTCTGTTCATCGGGTCCGTTGTCCGGACGCAATATTTTTTCGAAGGAAAAGGTGTTAGATATGTAGTTACATAGGTATTTGGTAGTATGTATATAAATGCCCCTTCAGTAATTCAATTGATATGGTGGTGTTGTTAGAACTAGATATTTATCTTTGGAAGACGATGACATTTATACTCCATTCTCGTAGTCACGCACTCTTATAAGGGCTCATTTGATTGTTTAAAATTAGAAATAATGACCTGAAAATGTTAATTTTTGTTGGATTCACCATTTTGATTATATATTGTTGAACACTAACATTGATTTAATACTCCTGCTGTCTTCTCAAACTTACATTAAAAAGTGATGATCTTTTTCACAAGTGAAAGTAGAATCAGTCTTATCTAAAGCATGCTTTCCATAGTCGTAAAGTTTCACTCAAATTTCATCTGAGCTTTGCTATTCAGGCTATATGAGTTTGTTTATGGAATGCTGTCATTTGTTTCAATTACTTCCGATTTGTTAATTTTATAAAGGAAATATGGCTTAATCTAAAATCATATATATTTTTCTAAATGGGAAATTTACATACATTCCACACAATTCTTATGTGCTTACTTATCTAACACTTTCACTTTTATAACTTCCTGGCATTAAAAACTTATGGATGAAAGTGTTTCTTTCACTTTTAAAAATTTTTGATGTGACGTCAAAGATTTGAGTGCAATGTACGTAAATATGTAAGTTTAGATGTTATATATGTAAATATATAAGAATTGTTTGGTATTTTATGTAAATGCCCCTTATAAGATTACTCCTTTCTGCTTTAATTCTTATTTCCTATGGTCTTACAAGTGATCTGACTTTTTTTTTTTATAATTGGTGCAGACGTATTATAAGAGATGGCTGTGGATCAGAGTACTTTTTGCAATTTTTTAATTAAAAAAAAATGTTTGGTGCCTTTGGAGTCGAGTTTACCCTGTGGAACTGACCATTTAATTTCCGTAGACCGCCAACAATCTTTTGTTGGATTATGGATTTTGCTCTTTTACTGTTTGTTGAAATTTCGAGGTAGATTATTCAGTGCAGCGTAGTGCTATTTATAGTCCATCTTTATATGGATTGTAGGATTTTTATTGTACTGAATGCTGGGGGTTTACTTCCCCATATTTTAAGCTGTAGGTTGGTTAGATTAGCTGTTGGGGGCTATTTGGTTGGATTTTATTTAGATTGTAGAATTATGTAGATAACATTTGAGGGTATTTAGTTTATGGATATATGTTTTTGTGTTTATATATTTTAATCAAGAGGCTTTTGGATTGTGGCATGATTGCGTAATTTCAATCAGTGGATTATGTTTGATGGTTTCAGTTGTATGATTGATAGGAAATTGATATAAAAATGCACGCTTACCTACAACATGATAGTTGAGGGTCGAGTTTCTTATTGTGAGATGGTGAGTTTGAATCACACATCTTGCTATTCATGCTCACAGTTCTGTAAGAAGACAAAAAAAAAATGATAAGAAATAAAAAAAATTTAAAACTGTGAGTTAATTAATTTGATCAAGTATGATTTAAGTATAAATGAATTGATTGGAGTAGTGAGAACTTGGAAGTTAATTAAGTTGATTAGTACTTTATTGTTCAATTAAGCCAGTCGGTTATGGATAAATTAATCTGCAAGTTAAAAATGGTCAAGTAGAAGATTTGCGCACATTTCACTTAATTCCTTTGCATTTACATAACTAACATTTAAAGTTTAATTATTTTTTAATATATATGCAGTCTTATTTAATGTCTATTTATGATGATGCATGATAGAAAATTCACGACAGTTGTCGTTTTAGCATAAAAAAAAGGAAACTAATTAATTATGACATCATATGTTTTTATATGGAAAGCTCTGAAAAATAACGGTGTTTGACTCGGTTGAAGAATCTCACTATAAAAAGAATATTACAATTGTAACTAGTTTTCTAACAGATTGGAAAGAGTTATTAATTTTCTCAAGTTATAACATCGACGAGCTGTTGAATTTGTTGCTGAACGGGCGACAGTCGATAGCAATTAGTGGCATTTGGTCGGTGATGTTCGATTGTGGTTGACGATGATCGACAATAGTCGACAGTGGCCAACTGAATAGTGGTCTACAACGATTGTTGAAAGTCGACGATGGTCGGCGGTGATCGACAGATGTCAGTGGTGGTAGACGACGATCGACGACAGTGGTGTTAAACTTCGACTCTCTCTAAAGCTTCAAACTTTTCCTCATATCCCAAACCCTCCTCCCCCATCATAAAAGGGTTGGGACTATATTTATTGTGTTTTGGGTGAAATTAATGTTGGAATATGAACCATTTTACGGTCTGGAGAGCTTCATTCGATCAAATAGTGTTTGATGGACTTTTAAGTGTCTTAACAATATTAGAATTAAGCGATCTTGGGCTCGCTGGATTCGTCATGTTGAGATGCTCGATTTGACTATAGAGTTGCTAGATTCGACATTTGTTTCTTCCATGCATGTCTGGAAAACTTCCAAGGTGGTATAATGACTTAATCTCAGCTTGATTTGGCTCTGATTATATTAGTTTTGATATCATTGGATCCGTCTCGTTGAGTCAGTCGGTTTGACAGTAAATTTGTTGAAATTAAAGCTCTGAATGACTTTTTATCGATGTTTGAATATTTCTTACTGAAAAGGTTGTCTCGAGATCTATGTTATGCCTCGATATTTGCGATAGATGATGAAAATTTGTTGGACTCATATTAATTGCCCTTATTTTCGGGCGAGATCACTTCTATGGTCCGAAAATATCTAGATCTAGAGCTTTTCATTTTTGTCATGTATACGTATTAATATTTAAATTCGTGTTATGCCTCGAGATTCTTGATAAATGATGAAAATATATGGGAGTCATATCAATTGCTCTCTATTTTCGGGCGAGATCACCTAGATTTGTGCTTTTGCGTCGTGGGTAAGGTGGAAGGTTTGAATCTTGTTCTTGAAAGTTTTGTTGTCGGGCCACTGGGTGGGCTTAACAGCCTGCGTTGTCCTCTACGTGCCCGAGAAGCGGGCCAATGAATTTGGGCATGCCAACCTACGCTGGCACTACGGGTCTAGGAACTGTTCCACATGACGGGCCTACGGACTAGCGCTATTTCTTGAGGGTCGGGTTGGACGCAATTCGACAGAATTTGGATTGTGGAGTTGGACTAGAAATTAAATTAATGCAAAAACTGGACCATCGAGAGCTAAACCTCGTGTCAAAAATCGGGCAATGGGATTTAGACTGAAAATAATCGAAAATAGAGGAATTTGAGAAGATTTTTAGCAGATTTTGGCATTTTTTTAACTGTGACTCTTTTTTAAAATTAGGAAATTCAGAAGGCTAAAGGGTGAGAATATAGAAAGAATTTACGCTTTCTTCATTTTTTTATTTGAAATGAGGAAGCCATAATGCCATAAAGCAGAAGAAGGAAGGCTAAAAGTCAGGAGCCACATGAAGAAGAGGGAATGTAGATTTACTTTTTTTTTAATTCAAATTACTTTTAATGCCATGACACATCTTAAGCCTATAAATAGTAGCCTTGATGAGGGGAAGAATCACAAGTGAGGAAAAGAAGAAAAGAGAGAAGAAAGAGGGAGAGAAGGAGAGTGTTGTTCTAAAATAGGGGAGAGAGTTAATGGAAGGAGAAGAGAAAAAAAGACTCTTTCAAAAGTTATCATTGACCCCGCCACATAGGAACTCCGGGATTTTCTTTCGCGGTCTTCTCTCGTGAGGATGTAGGAGAAAACTGTCCTGCACGTTATCCCCGACCCTGCTACGCAGGACCTCCAGGATTTTCTTTCACAGTTTTATCTAGTGGGAAAACAGGAGAAAACTTTTTTGAAAGTTATTCCCGGCCATGCCACGCAGGACCTCTAGGATTTTCTTTTGCAGTTTTCTCTCATTGGGAAGTAGGAGAAAAATATCTCGAAAGTTATCCCGACCCTGTCAGGCAGGACCTCAGGGATTTTCTTTCGCGTTTTCTCTTGTAGGGAAGTAAGAGGAAATTGTTCCCAAAGTTATCCCCGACCTTGCCACACAGGTTCTCTTGGATTTTTTTTTTCTTTTTAGTCTTCTCTCGGGCTGCTAGGATGGTGATATTCAGGGAAAATCACCCTATCAAAAACCAGAGGAATGGTCGGAACTTGGAGGATGTTGAGTCGAAGTTCACAAAGCGATTTGATTTTGTTTTAGAAGAATTACTATTTTTCTGGAAATATGGTAGTAAAGTTAGTGACTCCTACTGATCGAGCGTACTTCTCTCCCTCTGGGTACATTGTTGTTCATGAGTGGTCAAGCGAGTTGGCCTGCGATTTCCACCAGCGCTTGAGCTGACGGATATTATGAAGGCGAGAAGTGTGTGCATTGCCTAGTTCTCTTGTCGAGCGATGACGATCAATATTGGATTGGTTGCCTTCTTCAGGAAGTGCGGGTTGAAGTTGACGCCGGAAATCTTGGCCCGGTTAGGCCTGTTTGGTAGCAATGCACATGGTCGTATGTTGTTCAAGAACAAAGCATTGAATTTCCAATTGCAAGATCCAATGAGGCAGTGATCCGTGAGATTTTTCTTTCCAAATAATGATCAACAGTTTCTTGAAAGTTGAGGGAAGATTTCAGGATCTTAAAGTGATACATGTTTAAGTGCAACACACTTATGAATTTTTGAAAGAAGAGTCATTGTTCAAGGTTAAACTTTCATCTCACCCTGAGCGATCCGCGACCACAATGTAGGAAAAAAATCTATAAAAAGACCTACCGAGCCATCCCTTGCAGTACTTTCGAAGTGACTCCCAGCGAGTAGCGATTATGAAATACTCCCTCAAAAATAATAAAAGAGGGCTAAAGAATCACGGAGGTCCCTGCCCTGTCCTTCGACCATTCATATTTTGCGAGAATATACTGTCTCAAGAATGCACTAAGCTCATTGAGGTCGAGGGCTTTGCAAGTTTTTTTATCTTCTGCTATTGTATAATCATTTTACCTATCTGATCTAAACTTCTTTTCTTCTAGTTGGATAAAATTGTGGAAATCCATATTGTACTACAGTTGGCTCTAAAAAATTGGAATTTTGAAGGCAGGTACAACCGTCGAAATGAATCCATGGTTGATGGAGTCAAGGCTCTTAAATCCTAGTTGACGAAGTGTAGGACAAAACTCTCTACAATAGAGACTTCCTTCTCGTTACAGTTTCAAAATTTGGAGAGAACACGAGGGGCGTTGGTAGAGACACGAGTTGATCTCAGTGAAATTAATAGCAGTGTGGAGACCCTTAAGTCAACAGTGTCAGCCTCGGAGGAAGAGACCCGTCTACCGTGGTTTGTGAAGGAAGTTGATGTTGCAGGGGTTAAGTAAAATGTGATAGAGGACTGTAAGAATTCGCTTGAGTTCAAGACCATCATTCGAGACCACATCCAAGAGGCCTGCTATCACGTACTTGATATTAAGGAAAAAGAGCAACAAAAGTGGTTCATCGATGAAGGATTCATCTGTGACTTTCTGAAGGAGAATCGAGTGGCAGAACTTCGAATCGGGATTATCATTGAGGGGCTCTCTCCTCGTAAAACTTCAGAGGATCCTCCCTCAGATTCTGATGGTGAGCATATAGAGAATGAGATGAAGAAGGTGTTCTCCAACAACGATGTGGAGGCAGAGGAGAATGTCGAGGTCGATTAGCTATCTATTATTCTTTATCTGTTTTTAGTATCATTGCTTTTGTCATGTTGTATGAACCATACAGATGCAGCTATTCCTTTTTCATATTTTGCCTTTTTTTTATCAATAATGTTGTATGAGTGATACTAATATACTTGTTGATCATCATATTTTGTTATTTATTTTCGTTGACTAATTACCCCCCTAGTATCTCTTTTTCCTTTTATGTATCTTTCTTTTGATAATGACAAAGCTTGTTTCCTTTTTTTTTGTTGCAGTGGATACCATGTCATTTAGAGGTTCTAGCCTTTGAGGAGGTTGTTGTAGGAATCAATCGTCAGCGGCCTTTGACTTGCCTGGGGTTGTGTATCAGAGTATTACTCAATGATGTTAGCTCGTATGAGAGAAGCCAATATAAGTCCACCAAAGACTTTTTAACCCATTCGAGGTTATTTGTTGGAGCATTGCTCGCTTACGAACCCGTGTTGAAGTGGTCAGGTGCAGTCCACCAAGGATTGTTAACGTATCAAGTGTTGTTTATCTGAGTAAAAAATCGGCGATGTTAACCCGCATGAAGAGGTTGGATCAAATTCTTCTAGGATTGATCTTGCTTCGACTAAAATGCA